CTTCATCTATTCTCTAAACCCTCATTGACTGCTTTTCTTCAGAAGTGATGGATTTCGGCCGCTCTGATTACTTTTGCACTTTGTACGGCTTCCATCCTTCACAATCTGTCGCTGAAGTTTTGCCTCGGCAGGTTTAGCGAAGGGGTTTGATTTAAAAGCGCGGAATAAAACAAATCTAATAGCACACATCCACGTTTATTATCAGATAATACCTGAATGCTTTCCCGTTCGTCTCAGAGGCAGTTGCAGTCGCACACCGTCCAAAGTGGTGGTGCATTTGGGCACTGGTAAAACATGGACTGTGATATAATGAAATGCATTTTATTTCCTTTTCAATGTTCATCAATGGATAAAGATGCATTTTGTAGTTACAGCATCTGTATATATATATATATATATATATTTTTTTTTTTTTATATTATCTTTTTATTTGTAAAGGCAAAAATCCCATCACATACAGTAACAGGGCTCCAGACTGCGACCAAATAGTCGCATTTTGCAATAAGCGATCTATCGACTTGTTTCCTAGCACCGAATTCAAACAAAATGAAAGTGGAACTAAAATACGCAACTCATATAGTCTATGCTTCACGGACCGTTGACGTTTTTATTAGGTTTGACCAATAATAGACAGAGCAGCGCATAGTGGAGCCCCCCGAACCACCGACAGTAGGCTAATAAAGCCCCGAACTTGCCAGTCGCTGGCCGACCTCGATCACGCGACACTGTTACTAGCAGATCCAGTGAATAAATCCATTGACTTCGTCTCAGAATTAATAACATAATCGCTACGAGATCCAGTGAGAAACATTCCGATTCGGCGCAGAGTTCTGTTATAAACCATATCAGATCAAACAGCGCTGGCGTGGAAACCAGGAGGAACACTTACAGAACGCTTTCAGTCCACAAATCAGCAACTTATCAGCATGGCAAATAGTAAGTTAACTCTAACCATAAATATGATGTGACAGAAATACGGTAGTCAAACACTTAAAACACATCTTTGTCCTGCTCTTCAAAACTATAATATCATATAAAGTTAAATATTTTATTTTTTGTATTTTTTTTGTGATCAACACATTTTTTGTTCATCCTTCAAAGATTGTCCTAAAACGAAACATTTTTAAGATGTTGGAAAACTCTTATTTAAACATTAAAATTATTATTATTATTATTATTTTATTAAAAATTAAAAAAAAAAACATTGTAAACAGTAGGATGTGTATTGGCTATTTTCACTCCAAGTCCTTATACATACATGTTTTCTCTCCTTTTGTTTTTAATTAATATTAAGACATTATAAGTGATAATAACTAAAGTTAACTTCATCTACACCCTAAATTAATCTAAGTGATTTATTGTCAGCATTTTTTTGTATAAAAAACAAACAAACTGGTGTGACTTGGTGTGAGTTCTGATTTGAGGTGGTGCTGCCCTCAAATTTGAGTCTGGAGCCCTGTGAACTTAAAATAAAACAGCATATCATAATGTTAAGTCTATTTATTATTAAAGAATTGGTCAGTATTACAGTTATTTTGGGGTGAATTTAAATAATTGCATTGCGAGCTGATTTAAGGTGTGCCCCTAAATTTTCTGCTTGCGCTCCTAAAATTTTCAGTCAGGGAAACCATTTTTAACCATTTCCTCGTAACAGATTTCTTACTGGCTGCCATTAGTATCGCTAACAATTTTTTTATCGTTGATATTCCATGTTTCGAATCCTAGATTGCCCAAATATACAGTTTCAAATTTGAATGGGATGTTTACATTAAATACATTGTTTATGTGTAGCATCTGTATATTTTTCTAGTAATTTTCCTGTTTATGATCACATGATCCCGAATGGCAATCCATCGTGATTTGTCATAACTTCGGCACTCTATTACAGTATGTTCCAAACCTTTATGAATTTCTTTTTATTCTGTGGACGATATTTTTAAGAATGTTGAATGTCTTTGGTTGGATGAAAGCTTTGGAATGACATAAGAGTGAGTAAATGATGATGACAGGATTTCATTTTTTGGGGGTGAACTATCCCTTTAAAAACACAAGCAGCCGTAGTGAATCTGCCACAGCAATCTTAACAGTCGTATGTCTCCTTGTAGGCTGTACACGGCGTTTTCTTCGCAGCAAGTACTGTAGTAAGTGATGCTCACTTTCCAGTGGAATTCACTCTTAATATATCCTATGTATTTAACAGCTAACAGCTAACCGCTAAGTGTTTTTCCACATGGGTCCAGGCATCTTCATGTGATCCTACAATCAAACGACTAGCATAAGCCAGTAGATTTGCACGAACATTTCCTCTGAAGACACTTAGCAAACAAAAGGGTTGTGGAGAATCTTAGCCTGAGAGTGATGCTAATCCGAAACAGATGCTCACATCTGGCTGGTACACACAATCCCCAGGCATCATATTGTTTAAAATGTTTGTTTCATAAGCAAGTTCCCCCATCTAACAGAGAACGTTCTCAGAACTTTGGCTAATGTTCTGGCAAGTTATGAACAAACGTTAGCGTTAATAAAACGTTCATTCAAAGTTCTCTGAAACGTTTCAGTTGGGTTGAAACGCTTTACAATGAGGTTCAGTAGTAACATTGGTTAATGTATTAACTAACGTGAACTAACCATTAGTTAGTTATGTTAGTTAATAAAAAATGCAGCTGTTCATTGTCGGTTCATGTTGGTTCACAGTGCATTAACTAATGTTATCAAGATTTTAATAGTATAAGTAAATGTTGAAATTAACATTACAAAGATTGAAGGGACAGTTCACAGTCTTTGTTTCCGCAGTATTTTAAATTTTGATATTTTTAGGTCAAACCGTTCTTGTCTGTCAGTCATATAGACCATTTCACAAGATGTAAACAAGACTGGTCCGGAAGCACTTCCTGTTTCAGTTTGTAACTGTTTTCTTTATTTCACATGTAAAGAAAACATCTTAAAGATGTTTGTTTAACTTTTTGATTCAGTTTTAAATGTTCTTTTGGTTGTATTTTATCCCAGCTTTTTTGTAGTGTTACAAAACTGAAACAGGAAGTGCTTCTGGACCAGTGTTGTTTACATCTTGTGAAATGGTCTATAATGGAGGTCTATGGTCACCACCTCAAAGAGCATGCACAGAGAAGTCCAAATTAAACATGATTTAATGACTCGTAAATGTAAGTACACATTGATGGCCTAAGATACGAAATGAGCGGTTTGTGTGAGAAAACGAACAGTATTTATATCGTTTTTACCTCTTGTAACCATGGTCACGTCCAAGTGATCTGATGGCGCGGGCGCTCTAAAGAGGTAAAAACGATATAAATACTGTTCGTTTTCTCACACAAACCGCTCGTTTCGTGTCTTAGGCCATTAATGTGTACTTACATTTACGAGTCATTAAATCATGTTTAATTTGGACTTCTCTGTGCATGCTCTTTGAGGTGGTGACCATAGACCTCCATTATATGACTGATAGACACAAACGGTTGACCTAAAAATATAAAATACTGCGGAAACAAAGACACCTACATCTTGGATGCCCTTGAGGTAAGCTAAAACATATCAAAAATTAATTTCAAAGTGAACTATCCCTTTAATGAATGCTGTATACGTGCAGTTTATTGTTAACTAATGTTAACTAACGAACCTTATTGTAAAGTGTCACCGTTTTTAAAAATGGTACTACCCTGTTTCGGAACATTCCGAGAACATTTAAAAGTAACATTCCTATAATGTTTGCAAAATTCTAAAATGGAATGTTCCTTTAATGTTCATCGAACCATTTTCGTAAAAACATTTTAACGTTTTTAACGTTCAGCGAATAGCAAACATTCTTTGTTAGTGTTTTGTATTTTGGCTGGACAGACTTGGTAGTTTGGTTATGTGTAGATGTAAACAGAGAAGTCACAGCACAGGTAAGTGATCGAATGAACTGCAGCGGGAATCATTGCCACAATTTGTCTCTGCATGACATCAAATCAAGCCTTGCTGCTCATTTTGGATGTTTACCATGAAGTGTCTGGTTGTAGTCAGACTCACACTAACTGGTCTGCGTCTACACTGCAGAAGTGCTGTTCTTTCTCAGTATTTTTGGCTTGTTTTCCAGTACAAATATCTAAATATTCTGTACAAGTCTTAATATTATTGTGCTCCTCTAGTAACTGGATCCTTTTTTCGATATTTGTACTGGAGAACAAGACACAAACACTGAGGAACAACATCATTTCCGCGGTGTACTGCTGTTGATTCACTCTTGTACATGAGAGTGTTGCATGAGAAGACTAACACTCGGCCTTGTTGTTCTCTGTACGAAACTGATTCGAGTGCTGAAAACACCACATCTTAAACCAGCAGGTTTCCACTGATCGGACTGGCCTCGTTTGATGGTTTAAGTGGGGTTTGGGGCTCTAAACCAGCTACTATCAGTACCTGCAAACCTCACGTTGGTTTAAGCTGGTCTTTCGACAGGGAGTTTATGAACTACTCTGCAAAAAATGACTTTCTTCCTCAGTTTTTATTCAGTGTTTTCTTTACTCCTCATTTGTATCTTGTTTTGCAGTACATTCTTAAATTTAAGATATATTTACGTACTCGGAAAACTAAATTCCTTAAGATAGTCTCTTTTTTATTATTATTATCATCATCAAATTGAAGTGACTTTTTGTCTAAAACAAGAAAAATATGCCAGTTTTGAATTTAATTTCCCTGACATGTTTTAATAAGCGTAAAGTCAGTTCATTTTGATGCATTCGTCAGAAAACAAGACTATCTCAAGGAATTTAGTTTTTCAAGTAAATGCATCTTGGTTTTACAATATTTAGATATCTGTACTGGAAAACAGGACACAAATACTAGCGGAAGAACATATTTTGCAGCCTAAAAGGGTTAGTTTGAGCACCCTAAAAGCAAAACTGGTCTGGGTATCTTATAAAGTTTAAAATAAGTAAATCTTGGAAGACTAAGCAGTGTTTTGTAATGTGTGTGTGTGTGTGTGTGTGTGTGTGTGTATGCAGAGGAAAGGAGTGTCCAACAGCAGCCACTGCAGCCACAGCTGTTACCCAATGGTAAATATGTCAATTTCTCTAGCTTGATTCCTATTGGCTACTTCTTTCCACAGTGGGTGTGGTTATGCTGGAACTCTTACTAACCTTTATCGCACCAACTTCTTGGGTTGTGGGTCCATTCTGGCAATCAGGAGATCAACAAAATGAACTTCAACCGTATTAAAATGGTCATTCTCTTGGATTGCCCGAATGAAAACCTGACGCCAATCTTGCTTGCAACCTCCTCATTAGCAACTGCCCATTCTTTAATCAGAAAGCATGTCTAATGAGGGTTTAACAATGAAGTCGCTGCAGTCTCTTTACTATGAAGGGGTCAGATTCAGCTCACGTTTTCCCAAAATCGATTTCAACGATATCCGTCGTTATCGCTGTGGTGTGGACTCTGCTATTCTTCTGAATTGAAAATTACTTTTCAAAAGTTCGTTATTCTAGTTATCATCCTTGATGTGAATGGACCTTACATATTAGAATACATTCTTGTAATGGAATTCAATGGGACTTGCTATAACACATCACTGTACTTTATTTTTCAAAGTGCATCATGCATGACTTCAGATTGTGAAAGCGTTTTGTTTTGGGTTTACACACTTTTGATTGCACAGGGCTCTGAGGTTATAAAGGAGACTGATTGGTTCTGGCACTAAATCTGCATGCTGGCTGGCGGATCGTGTTTTTATTCGGCCTGAAATAAGCGCACGGCAAATACTGTACACCAAAGGCCAAGGACAACCTTTGTCCCAGTACCAAAATCTCACTTTGTTTCTCTTTATGTCATCTCATGTGCTCGCCTTGGAAAAGCGATGGCATTTTTGAAAAACGAGCTTGTTTGCACGACAACCTTTTAACATCAGAGTGGATTTAATGTGGACCGCTGTGTTTGGTCGAGGGGCTGTGCCAACAGCTGTCATATTTACCAAATAGCTCTACCTCTGGCGGCATGTTCCCGACTTGTTCCAACCCTTACAGAAACTAATTGTGCCGACACTTGCAATTCCTGAGCACTAGCTGAACGTTAGAGGAGGGTTTTTCTTAAAGAAGACCCATTATGCTGTTTTACATTGTCAGCTCTGTGTAATATTGCTGTTTGTGCTTTGGAAATTTGCAGAGCTTTTTTACGCTCAAAGTCCCTCCAACATTAGTTCTTCTCTATATCAGTGTCAGTGTTTCTGAACTCCTTGAAACGCCTCCATTGTAGTTTTGTTTTGTAGTTTTCTTAACACGTCACAATATTCCTCATTTAACCTCTTAACTCACCCACCTTTTTTTGAATAGACATGGAAATAAACATTTCTAACTTTGATGATTGTAATTCAAGAATGCTTTAGAATATAGACGTAAAATTGGTCTTGTTTTAAGGAAGACATTTGCCAGATTTTTGTCGAAGTGAAATAAATTGAGAAAGTGAAACAGAATGTTGAGTTTATGGAAATGTACAATGTAAAAAAAATAATTATTCGTAGTTTATATAAAATATATATTTTCAAAACCTGGGCTGCTCTAAAACTGCAGAAAAATCAAAGCCTAAAAAAATCTGAGCAAGTTGTGTTTTTAAATTTTAGGTTGATATCTAAAAAAAATGAGCTTTTGTTTGGGCGCAGTACTGAACGCTTCCACTAGGGCACAACCAGACTCCAGCACTGCCCATATAAGGGCGCCTCCATTTCCATATGTGTTTTGAGTGATCTGAACCATCATTTACACAATTTTCATACAATTTATGAAGTAGAGATCCTATTCAGAAGTCGTATGGGAAGTTTGGCAGATTTTGATATGAATTCAACCTTACAAACACATACAAAGAACACGCATGTGTGTTATAGCTTCCTGCCACATCACAAATGGTGAATTTATTATTTTTTTCTTAATATTTAAAACATTTTCAGGCCTTTTTTTTTCTAAAATAATTGAATGGATGCTATCTTTTGAACTTTTGGCATGAAAACAAACTGAGGTTTCTACCTTTTTTTCATTGCTATTTCAAAATAAAAGTCTGAACATGCTTTATGAGTAGGAAAATATTCTTGTTGCAAATTGATAGATTACGGCTCCTGTGTAATTTATTTTAAAAATCAGTCACCAAATATGGAAACTAGAGATTGTTAGCTTTCAAATAATATATAGTTTGTCAGTATTACTTAAGGTCTTTTCTAAGACATTGTTGTTTTAAAAATATAATGGCAAGTGTTCCACCTGTATTTATTAAATAATTCATATGCAGAATTAAGGGGCGGGGCCTGGTTGAGTTAGTTAGTAGTGTGGAAAGGGGCGGGACATTTCCCAAACACACTCTGACCAATCACAACACACTGCTCCAGGCGACCAATCAGAGCACAGTGTGCTTTTCAGAAGGAGGGGCTTCATAGAGACAGGAACTAAACAGAGCGTTACTGACAGACTGGGAAGAGAGGAGCCGCAACAATGGAGAATATGGAGAAAATAATGTTGTTTTTTACCATTCTAGCATTAAAACTTATTCAAGTAGAGACCAAAAAACAAAATCAAAACTTCGTAAAAGGGCATTATTGAACCTTCCAATTACCATAGTGGTACTAACATGCCACTAGCATCTAGGGTCATTATTTCACACATAAAAAAAAACCAATGTACTGTCAGCTGTTTTTTTTTTTTTTTTTTTGGTTAAAGTGTCAGTAGTCAGAACGGCAGAAGCGAGGACAGATGAGATGTTCAGATCTCTGGGGAAAACATTAAATGACCTAATTGCAATTAACTGAGTGCAATCTCGAATATTGCCTCGGTAGAAAATCCTTCTCCCTGAACTTTCCTTGGAGGTGGTTTTATACATAGCAACCTGCCTGCTGGGTACTAGTTAATGAGTGTGCTTTCTCTTAACACGAAGACTCTTAACAGTGAACTCCTCTCAAATGCAGAGTGCAGAATAGAGAGAATTTATGGAAATTCAAATAAGTAGTGAGTAATAAGGAGTGTTGCGATGCATCCAAAGCAAAGTCTTTCATTGATGTATTCTGACACGAGTGAAAGGGGTTTTGAATGCGTCTCGGCAAGCACGGGTGCCTCAAAATCCTCAAAAGCCGCTGTTTTGTCTGTGTCGCAGGAGGAAGGTGTTAGATGCTTGATGTTTGAAGTGCATGGTTGAAGTCTGAAAAGAAGGTCTTAACGTAGTTTATTTGTAGCCCTCTCCTCTGAGAGAAGCCTGAGATCTATGGAGAAAGACTTTGTTAAAGACTCCTTTTTTACAGCTTAGGTGGAATGATAGTTATATATCTGGATGAGGTCTACCCTGGTTCTAAAACTAGTTTGCTTAAAGGGATATTTCACTTTGAAATAAATTTTTGATATGTTTTAGCTTACCTCAAGGGCATCCAAGATGTAGGTGTCTTTGTTTCCTCAGTATTTTATATTTTTATATTTTTAGGTCAAACCGTTCTTGTCTGTCAGTCACATAATGCAGGGGTAACACTTTAATTGAAGGGGTGTGCATAAGGCTGTCATGACACTGTCATAAACATGACATAACACCATGAACATAAAAGAGTCTTTATGAATGTTTATGACTGTTGTCATTAAGTGTCATTCGGTAAATAATGACACTTTTAATGCAAAGTTGACATTGTTTAAAATGTCTTTGTCATGACAACTTGACATTAACCAAGACAAAAATGTCTTGATTATGACAACTTGACATTAACCAAGAAATCATAACTGGTCCAACGTATTCCACTTTACTTGAGGTAAGGGGAAATATTAATGACACTGTTGTTAAAGCATTTGACAGTGTAATGACCCTCAATGACATCTTTATAACTAGTACAATGTGTTCCACTTTACTTGAGGACAAGTAAAATATTCACGTCACAGTTATAATGGTGTCATGACAACCAAAGTTAAAACCAACCATAACATATGACAGGGTAATGTAATGTTAACACATTACAGGTTAACAGGTTATAATTTCTAGGTTATGTCAAGTTGTCATAACAAAGACATTTTAAACAATGTCAACTTTGCATTTAAAGTGTCATAATTTACCAAATGACACTCAATGACAACAGTCATAAACATTCATAAAGACTCCTTCATGTTCTTGGTGTTATGTCATGTTTATGACAGTGTCATGTCAGTCTTATGCACACCCCTTCAAATAAAGTGTTACCAATGCAGGTCTATGGTCACCACCTCAAAGAGCATGCACAGATAAGTCCAAATTAAACACAATTTATTGACTCACAAAAGTAAGTACACATTAATGGCCTAAGACACGAAATGAGCGGTTTGTGTGAGAAAACAAACAGTATTTATATCGTTTTTACCTTTTTTAACCACAATCGTTCAAGTGCTGTGAAGTCTGCACAAGTGCCGGAAGTGATTTCTCGTGTGCGTGTGGCCTTGGTAGCTTCCCTCTCCATTGGACTAGGTATGCTTTCCCAGCATTATTAACATGGTCATGGCTAAAAAAAGGAAATTGAGAACTGTTTTCCCATGAAACGACATGTAAGAGGAACAGCTGATACAACCGTCTCCATGGTAAGCCTTGTGCCTTCCATCTTTGGCTTGAAGGACTATTATAATTGGGCTTACGTGGGATGCTGGGAAGGAGAGCAGTTGTCAAAAGGGCACGCCAGCATCTGTGTCTCCAACACTCGTAACGGTTCAGTCTTCAACACAACGTCTCGGTTACTTATGTAACCCTCGTTCCCTGAAGGAGTGAACGGTGATGTTACGTTCCTCCTGCCACATCCATCCAACTCTGAATGGCTGAGATCCTTGTCTCTGCTCTTAAGCCTAAACCTGAATGAGTGGATGCGTGCCGCCATCTTATATACCCGTATGTATGGGGGTGTGGCTTGGCATGCAAATTCAATTCTCCGGTTCCAATGGGTGTTTCACAAGTTCACCATTACACTATCCAGGGGTGCGTTTCCCGAAAGCATCGTTAGCCAACTATGGTCGCAAGTTCCGTCGTTATCAGCATAGTTCAACGAGTCGGTGTTTCCCGAAACAATCGTTCCAACGAGCATTCGCAAACAGCATCGGTTTGAACGACAGCTCTCGACCTGTGGTTAGAGGCATCGTTTCTATATTACATCACATCTGCACGTAATAAATCCTTATCTTGAGCAAAATAAGCAAGCTGACGTTCAGTACAACCGGTGCCTTTTATTTAGAAAACATACAAATGTAATTTACGTCTTTTCGTTTGTCAAAAGATTTAAAGTACCGATTTTGAAGAGTGCGCATGTGCGAATGAGCTTTACTATGTAAGAACGAGACAAATGTTGATTGAGTCTGGTAATAAAGCAAAATAACTGAGAATAATTAGAAATAGTGCTTAATTTAGATATAAAAAATCTAGCGTTAATTGGATCTCAAACAGTTTCATTAAAAGTAGTTATTACTCCACCACGTGCGAAACCGACGTGGTTGAACGATACTTCGGGAAACAGTCGCGACTAGCTAGTTGATTTCTCCAACGATGCATCGTATTATGGTAGTGAACTACATCGTTGTACGGGAAACACACCCCAGGTTGGGATACGACTGGTAAGTGAGGAGATGGAGAGGTGGAGTGGAGTGGTAAATTTGTTGTATATACCTCCTGATGCTAATTGAGTTGCTAATTATCATGATAATTAGGTTAATTATCTGAATGTACTTTAAAGGTTAACTAAACCCCTGGTCAGAGCCTGACTCCACCCACTGGCAATATTTGAAAATGCTGAAAAAGTGGGCAGACCCCAGCGGAGATAGAGGGGACGAAATAGATGCTAAAACACTCTATCCTGATTGTTTTCAATACTCACAATCCCAATTCCTGACTCCCTACAGTGGTTTTGACGACACAAGATGGTTTTTATATTGCCAAGGGCGTCGCTCGCGTGGTGAGCTGAAACCTGGGTACGTCACGAAGTGCGGAACATCCAATAGAAAAATTCAACTGCAGTAGCCACCGTTCAACCTGAAGAGGGCAGCACTAAGACGTTTTTACACCATATATTGTAGAAATAGAACACTTTATAAACAAATGTCAAAAAAGTTACTCGAATCAATGACCGGTATTAATAAAGATCCATTCTTACAGATCATTAACTAAAAAAAGTTGGTTTAGTGTTTAGTTACTCTTTAAACACTCCCAAGTGAGACCCATGTGTCACTCTTTGACATGACGTCTCAGTCCCCTCCATCAGGGAACGAGGGTTACATCAGTAACCGTGATGTTTTGGTTGTATGGTTAACGTTGCCGGCGACGGATCATTAACGTTTAGTGGAAAGCGCTTCAGTAACCTCACAGGTGTCTTACAGAGTCTCAGACACCGCTTATCATCTCCTCTATCAAAAGATTATATTTATATCCACTCACACAGCTGAATCAAATCTGTTCAGGTGGTAGAACTTACCCACACAAAGAGGAGGTTTTGTGTGTGAGCGTTTCTCAGCTCTCAAAAGCCAAAGATGTCAAACCTTATAATCAGAGATTGATGCAGTAAGTGAATCTCTTAAGCGTTTTAGAGGCATGTTGTGACACAGACCTGCACACTGGCACACACAACCAACATATCTCTCTCTCTCCATCTCTCTCTCTTTTGTTCTTCTGAATGCCAGCAGAGCTTTGTGCTAAACCCTTATTCAGCGCAGTTATTGTGCTTAGATTTTCGGGAAGTATAAAGAGAGAAAATATTTTGTTGCTTTTTCAATGTATTTGTTTGTTTATTTATTTACATCACCACACTCTGAAAAACGCTGGGTTGTTTTAACCCAAATTTTGGTCAAATATGGACAAACCCAAATGTTGGGTTAAAAAATGTCATTTAAAATTTTCAACTTTCACTTTCAACTTTTTTATTACGTTTTTAACCCAACGTTTGGGTTTGTCCATATTTTACCCAAATTTGGGTTGAAACAACCCTGCATTTATGTATATACAGTATATACAGTAGATTAACATTTTTTGCTTTTTTATTTGTTCATATTGTTCTTGTTTTTATTGCATATCCCAAAACTGAAAGGAATAAGTAAAACAGACATGATGATCAAATATAAAGTATCTTTACTGTGTGTATCAAGTGCTGAGGAAGAGCTGAAATTCAGTGTGGTAATATAAGTTTGGTTTTCCGACACACGTTGTAAGCAGTGGACCAATCACAACAGACTGCGTTCCATCTGACCAATCAGAGCAGAGCAGGCTCTCGAAAAGGCGGGGTTTAGAGAGGCCGAACCGTAGGGTTGGGTAGCGTTTGAATTTGAACGATTCTGATTCCGATTCCTTGTTTCGATTCCGGTTCCTAACGATTCTCGATTCCGATTCTTTTAAGAGGCAGGGTCAAAAAAGTTTAGCTAACCTTGCTAACCAACGGCCTTTCTGAAGGCAATAATCCTTTCTGATGGAAATACTTCTTCGGTAAAAATACTCCTTTTGTCACAAATTTTGCATTTCGTTATTTTTAGAAAAGTGAAGCCACACTTTGGATCGTCGACGTAAGCTACTCATGTTCGACTCGCGTGGTTATGCCAACACTTCCGGTAGACGCTTCTTCGTTGGTGTTGTTCAGCGGTTTCTTCTTCCGCTCGGCGGACTGTGGATATCGAAACTAGGAATCGAAATTTTTACTTTTGAACGATTCCGGGAAAAACGAAAAGTTAGTCTCGGTTCCAATCGATACTCGATTCTCGATACCCAACCCTACCGAACCGTTTCAGACACTGTGAGAAAAGAGCCGATACTGCAAAGTACTGTATATTCAGAGTGTTTTTTTGCCATTGGATGCATGTAAACCAATTGTTTGAGACTCCAAATTAAAATGATGAGCCTTAAAATAGTATAATAGGGGCACTTTAAAAGAGTGGTTAATTTGTACAACAGTTTCCAGGATGCAACAAAGTGTACTGTATATAAATTTGTAATGCTTCAAGCGTCATGGTCATTGTGAAGCATTAAAATGCTGCTGAACAGATGCTAATGCCCAACGCTGAGCTCTAACTCTCTCTTACACTCAACACACAGGCGTCTGCTGCTCACTTGCATGTGCTGCGTTTATGACTAACTCATCAAAAGCTGCTCAGAGTCTGGAAAATGGGAACTCTGTGGAGTTTGATGTACACACACTTGTTGCGTGGTTCCTGTCCTGACTCCTGCTGTCTGTGTGTGTGTGTGTGTGTGATTTCAGAGACGTGCGCAGTCAATAACGGAGGCTGCGACAGCACGTGTCATGACGCTGTGACCGGAGTGAGATGCAGTTGTCCGGTGGGATTCACGTTACAGCCGGACCGCAAGACCTGCAAAGGTACGAACACACACTGAGATCATCCACTCATCTGAAGGAGGAATCTAATCCTGCGTGGTTAGGAGCGACATGCATCACAACACTCTTCTGCCCTTGTTAAAAGAGAAAGTGATCAAATCCCAGCCAACCAGAACAGATTTTCTAGGTTTCAGTGGGAGCTCAAATTTCTCATCGCTTTTATTTGCAAATATTTTGTATATCAAAGAGATTTATCACTTGTCATTTTATTCATCCATCCACCGTATATTGGCCAATCTGTCCGTCCAAACATCCATCCATCCATACATCTGTCCATCATTCCGTCCGTCTGTCCGTCCATCCATCTGTCCGTCCATCATTCCGTCCATCCGTCCGTCCATCCATCCGTCCATTCATCCGTCCGTCCATCCATCCGTCCATCCATCCATTCATCTGTCCGTCAATCCATACATCCATACATCTGCCCATCCATCCATCCATCCATCTGTCCATCCATCCATCCATCCATCATCCATCCATCCATCTGTCCATCCATCTGTCCATTCATACATCCATACATCCATCCATCCATCCATCTGTCCATCCATCCATCCATCCATCTGTCCGTCAATCCATACATCCATCCATCCATCCATCTGTCCATTCATACATCCATACATCCATCCATCCATCCATCTGTCCATCCATCCATCCATCCATCTGTCCAGTCATACATCCATCCATCCGTCCATCCATCTGTCCGTCAATCCATACATCCATACATCTGTCCATCCATCATCCATCCATCCATCCGTCCGTCCGTCCATCCATCCGTCCATCCATACTTCCGTCCATCCGTCCATCCATCATTCTGTCCGTCCATCCTTCCATACATCCATCCATCCGTCCATCCATCTGTCCGTCAATCCATACATCCATCCATCCATCCATCTGTCCATTCATACATCCATACATCCATCCATCCATCCATCCATCCATCCATCCATCTGTCCATCCATCCATCCATCCATCCATGCATCTGTCCAGTCATACATCCATCCATCCGTCCATCCATCTGTCCGTCAATCCATACATCCATACATCTGTCCATCCATCCATCCATCTGTCCATTCATACATTCATCCTTCCGTCCATCCATCCATCCATCATCCATCCATCCATCCATCCATCCATCCGTCCATCCATACTTCCGTCCATCCGTCCATCCATCATTCTGTCCGTCCATCCTTCCATCCATCCATACATCCATCCGTCCATCATTCCGTCCATCCATCCATCCATCCATCCATTCACCCGTCCGTCCATCCGTCCGTCCATCCATCTGTCCATATATCCATCCATCCATGCATCTGTCCATCCGTCAATCCATACATCCGTCCATCCATCCATTCACCCGTCCGTCCATCCGTCCGTCCATCCATCTGTCCATATATCCGTCCATCCATGCATCTGTCCATCCGTCAATCCATACATCCGTCCATCCATCCGTCCGTCCATCCATCCATCCATCCGTCCATCCGTCCGTCCGTCCATCCATCCGTCCATCATTCTGTCCGTCTATCCTTCCATCCGCCGTCCATCCATCAGTCCATTCATCCGTTGTCCAGGGCTACAAATTAAATCATCTTACATCTTAGCCACCAAGATGAAATTTCCTTAAACTTCCCTCTCGCTCTTTAAAAAAAGCTGTATTTATGAATGAATGAATACTTATGAAGAAAATTAATAAGTGCTTGATGAACACAAAAGAGCTTAACGAAGAATAAAAGAGGCGAAGTGGAGACTCGCAGGGTTGTTCGGCCAAGACTGGGAGCCTGCGTCGCCCCGAGCGCTCATAACGTTACGCTAACAAGACCGATAAAAGAACATTGAGTTTTATTAGTTCTGCCACAGAAGAAACAAAGGAAAACATCCCCAGACAGCACTGGCACGAGAAGACACGAGCGAAGGAGCCGTTATTTTATCCAGATGATGCAGCCTCTCTCTGAGATGAACGCCTCATTTACTCCGATGATTCAGCTGTAATCAGAAACACCCAGACCAGCTCAATCAAAGCCTGAGCGGAGCACAAGCTGATGATATACTGACCCCCGATGCGGAGTTCGAGCCCCATGAGGTCGCACGTTCACTCCATGTGTGTCCGGCACAATATAGTCAGAGAGCTCGTCGTCTTCCTTTTTCAGTCATTTCTCTTATCCCCCTCTCTTTCCCTCATTTTCTCGCTTCTTTTCTCAGATTCCTGTCGTTCAAACTGTATAGTTTAGCTCATTCAATATTCTTTCTCTGTATTTTTGTCTCATTTTCCAGTACAAATATCTAAACATTCATAATTCAAGATATAAAGCATAATGACTTGAAATACTTGAAAAAAATGTCAAAATTAAGTGACTGTACGTCATATCAGTTAATGTTACTGTAATTTCAACATTTACTAATACATTATTCAAATGAAAAGTTGTATCTGCTAATATCATTTAATGGACCTGATCTGACATCAGCTAACAACGAGGATTGTAAGCCTATTTGTATTGTTAACAAAGAATAATAAATACTGTAAAAAAAATGTTTATGTTAGTTAATACACAAACTAATGGAGCCTTTTTGCTCTATTGACAGATTTATTTTATGTTTTGAGCATAATTTTGATACATTTTTGCAGAAAATTAAATTTTGTTTCTCATTGTATCTCTTTTTTTAAGAATGTTTCAATATTTGTACTGGAAAACAAGAAAAAAAGTTCTGAGAAAAAAAAAACATCTATTCCTTGAATGCAATGTAAGTCGCTTTGAATAAAAGCCTTCACCAAATGCATAAATGTAAATTTAATAATTTCAGATTTTAGATGAGTGGCTGTGGAACTGTTTACTATCACAAATTTACATTTGGACTATTTTACTTCAGCAAATAAACTTCATTTCTCTGGTAAATTGTATGGTGGGTGAAGCACAATTAGCAATATGGTATCAATATAAAGACAGCATAGTATTTATACAACGCTTTATATGACAGATTGTCCATAGTGATAAATAGGAAAATAACAGAATCAGTTTTGCAAAATTCTGAATTATTTTTTGCTTAAATATTTGAATTCTTTACAAGAAGTTTCATTAATTAACTACAGTTTATTAGTTAGCACTAACTAACAATGAACAATTAGATTAGAATATTAGTAAATGCTTGAAAAATATTGATTTAATTAATGTTAACAAATAAGACTTTATTGTAATACATTATTCAAATCAAAAGTTATATCTGTTAATATAATTTAATGGACCTGATCTGACATCAGCTAACAACGAGGATTGTAGGCCTATTTATATTGTTAACAAAGATTAATAAAAAATAAAAAATGTATTGCTCAGTGCTAGTTTATGTTAGTTAATATACACAAACTGATGGAGCCTTATTGTTAAGAGTTACCACTTCATTTGGTTTTCCATTTTGTATCATTTATATATATATATATATATATATATATATATATATGATCATTTTCTGATTCAAACAGTGAGCTGATAGTTTAAGCCCAAACAAATCCCTCATATATGCAGTCAATCACCCCTTTTACCTTTATATTATTATTATGTTCATCCTCTCCTCCTGGTTTGAATCATGTTAAACTGAAGGCAACGGTACTAATCCTGTGCATGTGTATTTGCTCAAACAAAATTTGCTCAAGCATTCATTCCTCCCTCTCTCTCTCTCTCTCTCTCTCTCTCAGACATTGATGAATGCCGCATGAACAACGGCGGGTGTGACCATGTGTGTAGAAACACGGTGGGCAGCTTCGAGTGCAGCTGCAAGAAAGGATACAAACTTCTGACCAATGAGAGGACGTGCCAAGGTAGACCAGACAAGGGAAATGTTATGTCATTATGTTTAAAGCACAAACCTTTGGTTTGCTCGGCTCCTTCCCTGCTGCTGCTTTACTGCTCTCGGAGATACTGTGGGCAGATTGTTTGAGATCCAGCAGGGTTTATGAGGTTTATGAGCTGGCGGTTAGTTTGGTCAGGAGAGCTTGGTGTTTAATACAGGAGGAATCCCTCAGAGAACATTTAAGGTGATGCTATCCTGCCAGTCTTCATAAACGCACACCTCCGATCCAGAGTCCCCTCGCTGGTCTTTAAAACGTTCCTGTCGGCCTGGGAATATTTCTGGAAAAGATGGTTTGATGTCAGTCTGTTCTGTTTCTCAATATAGACTCATTACAGCATCAGTAACACCATTTCTAAGCCAAACACACTTCAGCCAACAACTCAGCATGATGAAAATGGCATTAATATACACTTTTAGAAGAAAAGGTTCTATATAGAACCTTAAAAGGTTCTAAAGCGCTACGTATTTGGAACCCCTAAAATGCAATGCATGTGAATGATCACAAAATTCAAGATATGGGGGTTAAAAAATGTAATTAATCAATATCACACAAAGAGTGCCATTTCAGTTTTCATCCTCCAAAAATCTGCATGATTAAAATGTCATATTAAGTACTGCAACAGTTTAATAAACAATAATTTAATTACAACTACATAATGTAATATATGAATGAATAATAGCCTTTAAAGAACCTTTGTGCCAAAAGTGTTCTTTCTTGTCATTATTGAACCTTTTTTAGCATAAAATGTCGTTTGGAGTTGAGTAAAGAACCCTATGCTACACATGAAGAGTTCAGATGCAAAAGCCTCTAAATGCCATTTGAAATTTTCTTCTTTAATGATGATTTTTATCAAACTTGTATATTTAAGTTCAGTAATTTCACTTAAATAACACTTAATAGGTAATTATCATTGCCATTTAAGTGAAATCACTGAACTTAAATATACAAGTTTGATAAAAATCATTATTAAAGAAGAAAATTTCAAATGGCATTTAGAGGCTTTTGCATCTGAACTCTTCATATATAGAACCCTTTTTTCTAAGAATGTACATATATATTCAAATTAAATTAAGAAGCAATTTGTATCGTCTGAAAAGAGCAAATAAACAGCCAACGATCAGGGCCGATTATATCCTGTCAATCAAAAGGTGCAACTGCAACTCGGACTGTGTGTGAAGACAATCTCTCTGGTGTTGAATTTAGGGCTGTCAAAGTTACCAACACAATAGCGCATTAACATGTAAAAATGGCGAGGTTAAACCAGGCTCTATGAATGGATGTCAGGTCTGCAGTTTTTCCATACACCAAACATTATTTGTGGCGTGCCTTCCGTCCAATAATCTGCGTCTCAATTAGGGTTGGGTATCGTTTGAATTTGAACGATTCTGATTCCGATTCCTTGTTTCGATTCCGGTTCCTAACGATTCTCGATTCCGATTCTTTTAAGAGGCAGGGTCAAAAAGGTTTAGCTAACCTTGCTAACCAACGGCCTTTCTGAAGGAAATACTCCTTCTGTAAAAATACTCCTTTTGTCACAAATTTTGCATTTTGCCGAGATTTCGTTATTTTTAGAAAAGTGAAGCCACACTTTGAATCGCCGACGTAAGCTACTCATGTTCGACTCTCGCGGTTATGCCAACACTTCCGGTAGACGCTTCTTCGTTGGTGTTGTTCAGCGGTTTCTTCTTCCGCTCGGCGGACTGTGGATATCGAAACTAGGAATCGAAATTTTAACTTTTGAACGATTCCGGGAAAAACTAAAAGTTAGTCTCGGTTCCAATCGATACTCGATTCTCGATACCCAACCCTAGTCTCAATCAGCTCCTGAGCTCTCGAATCAGTATATCGAGTACATAAATTCGGACTGCTTCACCGCACATGGGGACGGTGATTACTCATGGGCCAGGGCCATTAAATAAAATCATGCGTTTTGATTCCATCACTCAAAGTTGCACCATCTCCATGTGAGCTCATGTTGTTTTTCCTGTTTCTCAGGTTGGGTGGGTGTGGGAACGGCCCGTGCCCGTGTGCGGGTCTCTGCGGGGCAGGGAGGGCATCTCCTCCTGTCCGTTCAAATGTTGTGAGGAATGTCAAGTGATAAAATTATCCATCATCAATGACCTTTTGCAATGACCAGACAGGATTGTCTGCTTTATATCTGCAGCTTTCGTCATTTATCATTTTTGCTTGTTCAAATCACTTACTTTAAGTGCTTTAGCATGTCAAGTCACCTTTAAGTATATAGTGCTTTATACAACGGAGGTTGTTTCAAAGCAGCTTTATAGTGATGAACGGGAAAATAACGATTAGTTAACACAGTTCGATTAGTTAACACAGTGCAAACACAGTTCAATTCTGCGGCAAAAAAGACAATAGCATCATTATTCAGTGTTCAATTACAGGTTTGCAAAATTCATCAGTTATGAAACAATAGTGTTATCATTCATTTCGAGTTTAGCTCTCAAAGTGTCATTGGAGTCAAACTGATGATATTATTGAATACTAAGTGTCTTATTGTACATGTGACGCTTTGTGCATGAATTATTAATTGGTGATAAATAGCATTTAACAGTTCTTAGAAGATTTGATATTTGTACTGCATATATTTCCAGGGCTGCATACAAAATAAAAGTTTGTGTTTACATAATATATGTGGGTGCACTGTGTATAATTATTTTATATATATAAATACACACACATGTTTGTATATATTTAAGAAATATTTTCGTCTATATACTGTATATAGATTTATATATAATTTATATTATATATAAATATAAAAAAAAAATTTCCCCTAAATATACATGCATTTGTGTGTATTTATATATATACACAAAATAATTATACACAGCGCACCCACATATATTATGTAAACACAAACTTTTATTTTGGAATGCGATTAATCGCGATAAATCGTGTGACAGCCCTTGTAAATATTAGGGCTGGGTATTGAGACAAATTTCACAATTCGATTCGATTTCGATTCACAAGCTTACAATTCGATTCGATTACGATTCGATTCAATATTGATTATTTTGGATTTCAGTTACAATAAATGGCAATTTTTCTCAAGGGAATCAAATCTCTTAAATGCTGTAAACTATGGGAGTCTAGTTGTAGCCTATAGGCTTCATTAGCCTAATATGAAGGTAATAATTAACTGTTTTGTAGCTAAACAAACACTTAAATTACACTTTTATTTATTTTTATAATAAGAAGATTATATGAAATATAAACATTTAAATGGTTGCTGTCATAAAAACTTGCCAGATTTATTCAAATATGCATTAAATATTGAAGAACATTAAGATTATAATGCATATGTAATATGGTGTATATATTTAGCAAAATGCTATTTGACTAACGAGTGTATGTGGGTTTTCTGAGGTAAATATGACGATACATTGATTACAAGCTGTTTAACTGACGTCTTTTCTCGGTTGAAACGCTGATTGAGCGAATCAATGTGACATGATACGGATTTCGATAAGTTGTACTCTATCTTTAACACACTTTCAGATGCTCATTCATGTTTATTTCGCGCTGTGACTGGTATTATTAACCCGGAAGAGAGATCAGCGCTGAGCGATCTCACGCCACAGCGGCAAAACGCTATTTATGTTTTTGAATTTCTAAAGAAAATGGACGTGATTTGAAAACTGAGACTTTGTTTCATATCAATAGTAACAAAGGACAAAGATTATTGCGATTTTTTTGGATGCGCGCAGCCACGATACAATGATCCATTCATTCAAATGAAACAGGATGACTAATCGATTCTTGAGATTTAAGAATCGATATCGGTTCGTAAAAATGAGAATCGATTAATATCGAGAAATCAATATTTAATACCCAGCCCTAGTAAATATATCTAGAAATGCTAAGTACTTGGGAAAAAAAAGTGAGTTTATGCTTAAAACAAAAATATACACTAATAAAGAAATATAATTTAAAGTGAAAAACAAAAATCTTTTTTGATAAATCTTTCAGCAAACCTATGTAATTTTGCTTCTCCGTATCTTGATTTAAAGATGTTCAGATGGTTGTACTGGAAAACAAGGCAAAAACACAGAGGAAGAAACTCTTCTTTTATAGTGTAAAAGCTCTTGATGAGTGGCAGAGCCGGTAAAAGAAATAAGAAAATGTCATTGGCTGGGACTGGGAGAATGTTCAACCTGTTGGAAATAATCATTTTATCAGACCTTCAGCTACAAACCAGATTGCATAGTTGTCGTTTGTGAGGAAACGAGTGGCTGAAAGGTGTAAACAGAGTGTGTGCTCTATCTCGGGATTAACAGCTTCAGTGTTCCCCTGCTGTCATCAACCTTGTCCTTCAACACCTCTCCGAAAGCCCGGAGACATTCCTCGGTCGCTTAAGAGCTTTCTGAAGTGTATTTAGGGGGAGGTGTTATCAGATCCCCAGTGTTCATGAGGTGGGAGTTTGCTGATAAAGCCCCTCTCTGCGCTCTATAAACACACCAGCTGTCATTTTACTCTCACAATGCCATTGTTTCCGACCGCGAGATTAAGTGGGACCAGCATGCCTGTGTCTATAGGGGTGAAAAAGTCAGAATATCACATTTTTCTTGGTTTCGGGTGCTTGCTAAGACTATTGGCATTGCATTGCTCAGACTTCCCGAGCCGCGTAAATTGCTCATATTGAAATTGACGGCCAGTGGAAATACGTCAATTTCTCAAAAAAACCATATAGTGCATGTCAATATATCATATTCTTTTAGATCAAAAAGTACTGAAAGTTCAATAATAGCAAAAAAGTTCACATGAACAACTCAGTAATTCATTATATTACTGATTTATAGTTCCCAGCATGCTTTGCGTCAAATTGAGTAAGGAGAATAAATGTTAAAATTAAGTGTTATTTAGTGTGTTTTTGCACAAGAATAAAGGCCCTGACATACTTAAGACAAAGTTTTTTTTCGCAAGCTGCTTAACAGTATTAAACATGG